ATGTCATGCCAAGTACATTTTTTTCTCCAGAAACAGAACCTGCTCATCCTGTTGGGATCTGTTTTAAATGACTCAGCAGCCAGACTGAACCCTGACCTGCAAAGTGCACATAGCCCTATCATTTGAAAAGGCCACGTGTTCAAGTGAACGGGGTACTCAGTTGGACGCACAAGGCCAGGTTTCTGTTCCAAGCTGTTCCGTGTGACCTTGGGTTATTTACCTACCTGCCCCCACCTATTTCTTTTGTCTATTTAAACTGGAAGTAATTTGGACAGAGATTGTATCTACAGTCTACAGCCTCTCACTAACACATGATTCCAATTCTGACCTGTTAGCATCTTGGCTGGGAGTCCAGCCCTTCTTCTTGGGGATGAGGTTAAGAGATGATACAGTTCCTGTGGATAATTGTCAACATAGGAAGACGTCACCTGATACTGCAGGGCTCTTTAGTCTAGCAGACAAAGGTGCATAGGAAGAGCCAATGACTGCAAGCTGAAGTCAGGAAAGCCGCATACTCTTAACAGTGCAGGTTATTCTTAATGCTGGAGCAATTTGTCATGGGACCCCTCTGACCTTAAAATCTGTTAATCTTGAGTGAGCTAAAGATGGCTGGTTTAATCATGGCAAAAACCCAATGGTGGGACATTGCTTTGCACTCATGCTGGCAGGGACTGAGTGGAATAAAGCCACAAAAACCCACATCATTCATACTTGGAAACCAGGTCAGGTATGCCAATGTGTGATGCCCCACACACTGCTGTACTGTCGCCTTTTCTGTTTCTAAACTGTATGCCAAGTGCACTGCTCTACATTGTTTCCTGGCTCAGGAAGCCACTGTTTTTTGTAGCATCCTAAGAGGGGCTGTTACAGCTTGAGAGAATTTAGAAAGAGGTTAATTACTTTGTTTTTTCACTACTTAAATATCTCCAGAGAGAAGTGGCTGCAAGTGGCGCCTTTACAACTCTTGCCATCATGGCAGTGGCTGTACTGCCATAGTTGAGTTGCCTGTTTTTGAAGCTGCAGTTCCAAGTGGCTCTTTGAGCCTTGTTACAGCCTACATGCAGTGAGCTGCACGAGTGTCAATTGGTGTTAGTGCTAGCTTGGAGTTTGGAGCGGTCACACCCTTAGTCTAGAAGCCTTCTCTGACTGTCCCCTACCTGCACAGCTGTGACTTGGCACTAGAGGCCAGGTGAGCAGGGGCAGGACTAGGAGCTGGAGCTGGGGCTGGAGCTGTGAGTTGCTGCTACAGGGCTGGTGAGCCAGGGCAAGCTCTATCCCTGCTCTACGAGTGGGGGTGTGAGATCCTGGGAGACAGAAGGACTTCAGATTGGGCTGCACATCTGCGAGGAGTGGCTGCACCTAAATGGAACAGGAGCTGGGTAGTGTGGATCAGTGACGATAAACCTGTCCTGGAGTGGTATAACTTTGAGCTGTATAACAAGATGTTAAAACCACTTTAATGTCCAGACAATCCAGGGTTAAGAGCTTCCGGAGTCACCCAAAATGACCATGTAACAAGGCCCTTTCTCTCTCAAGAGAAGGACTATTTGATTGAAAATCCTCATGCTTTTCCTTTAGGTTGGAGGGGTGCATGTTTGCAAGACGCATGAAGACTCCTCATTCCATTGTTTCTGAGGAACAATCTCACAAACGTAATCGCTTGCAAATGGGTTTGTCATCTTTTGTTTTTTTGTTGTTGTTTTTTTTAACGGAGGGCTCACCTACTCCTGGAAATTTACTGGATGCTATTTCAAGAAAATTTCCAAGTGCAGGGTAGGATTTTGTAAAGCACTTGCTATAACCCTAACCCTGCTCCCATTTGAAGTCTATTTTATCATGACCCTTGGTGGGCACGGGAATCAGACTCGTACTGAGCGCTTCTGAAAACACTTCCCTAAATCTTTATTTTAGTACTTCTTTAACAGCTTTCTCCCTGTTTCATTTTTAAATCTGCTATTGAGCAACCAGAATAATTGTGCACACTGCACTCCCTAATTAAGATGGATGTTGCATTAAGGCTACCATTTGGTTTAAGGAAGAAAAAACCCAGGGAATTCAATTGAATGGTTTCTGTGGCAACAGCGCCGACATGTTTGTCAGAAGCATTGATGTACAGGGTTGAATGCCATGTATATGGTCAAGTATTTATATTTAACACCATATGTTGGACTAGAAATGTTCTCTTAACTTACAAGAATCGATTCTTGCTGTTGTAAAAAAAAGTGTTCCTTTTAAAGTCTGAGCTGTGCCTGTTAAATCAGCTGAGGAATAAGTCCATAAGTCACCCTTTCTCTTAGTACTTGGACACCTATTGTAGTGTAGGATCTAACTCTCTCTCTCTCCCCCCCCCCCCCCAAAAAAAAAAAAAAAAAAAAAAAAAAAAAAAAGATTTTCCCCCGTTTATAGGCCTCACTCCATACAGGTCAGTAGAGCTGCCTGAGCTAATCCCAGTGGGGCCTATAGGCAGTAATGGATGAACTCCACTTCCCCTGCCCCTTACTAAGGCTGCTGGATGTTAGGTTCATTGGAAGGTGACCTTTTAATTGCATGAAACCCTGCCTGTCATCTGCACTCAAGATCAGAGAGATTGAAAGGGCTGAGGTTGCTGCTGTTTGGGCTCTCCTGCTGTCAGAGGCTAGTTGAGTAGCTATCCCAGGTCTTCAAAGCCAAGTGTCTGGGCTGAGAACCAGCTTTCCACCCCCTTTCCAAGCCAGATCAGCCAAATCCATTCCAAATCCGTGAGTCAGTCCAGAACCATAAGTGGCCCTACTGCTGGCAAATATCCTCCACTCCCATATGGGGCTTCAGATGACCCTTTGGTGGGCATCCTACGTGCAGGCCCAAGCCCGGAGGCTTAGGGTTCAGATGCCCCTGAGTTTTTTGCTTGCCTTTAGCTATATGGCCACAGAAGCAAGCTAGAGAGGAGTCTCCCATTTCCATAAAGTGGGCATAAAGGCAAGATCTCCACACTCCAGCAGCTAAGTGGGAGGTTAACTATACATTACCTTGGCAGGTACTAGCCCCGTGCCAGGAGAGCAGTCATCCCTGGGTGCTACTAGGAAAACTGCCTCGGTGGTCACAGTGTTTCCCCTGCTAGGCTGAGAACCAGCTATGCTAGGAAACACCCATTTCCTTCTTGGCTCTCATAAAGCACCTCACGGAAGGGGAGAAGGTTTCTGCACGTGAATCCAGGCTCTCTGTAGGGGTCTGTGTGAATCCAGGGCTTCTTTGATCTTGTACTTGTGAGATTTGGAAGGGAAAATCCCATCAACAATTCCTTCTTTCCATCTCAGAGAAGGAATTTATATTTAGTCATTTATCTTCCCTGAGTCCTAATGCCCATAATCCCCTCCCTTTGTATCGTCCCACAGAGCAGATGAGAGGTGGAGAAATCTGAGCAGCTGACGTGCAGGCCGCCCAGAATTAGGTAGCTGTATGCAATCCTCTGACTTCCCCGGAGAGACTTTGAGGAAGCTTATGGGACTGGGAGAGATCTCCCTTCATAAGAAGGAATTCAGGGTATTCCTTATGCCCCCTGATTCCTTCCTGTGGCAGGAGGTGGTGACAGCTCATGGGATCTCTAAGCTGCTGCTAAAGGCACTGCATTAAAAAAGTGTTTGTGTGTGACACCAATGTGAACCTCAAGCCAGACTCCTAAATGTGCATCTTTACAAGCAGTATTCACAGAGTCAGATTCCCAGCAGGTGGCACACTGCTCCACTCGGGTCACTGGGGCTGCGATGTGCAGCCCAGGATCTGGCTTAAGTTGAACGTTTATGCTTCATTGCTCATGACACTCTTCAGCTCTAAACCAAATCCAACTCTGTCCCAGATGTACACACCCCCCCATACTGGTGTATGTTGTCACTGTAATATTGGACAAATGGCGGCCTCCCCACCCACACCTTTTTTGTTCTGTAGAGAGCAGAGTTAAACTGCATAAAGCAAGAACAGCATTGTTGGCCCAAAACAGTACAGGTGTTGTTAAAATGTTTGGGGTGAATACAATAGAACATTTATCATCTTTTAAGTAAAAAAAGTATAGCTGTGGCCAGGTAAACACTACTGTATTTCCTCCCAAACCAGTTGTCTCTGAATGTGTATCTACCATATTTTATTACATACAACACCCCCCTGCCCAATAGAATACACCCCCCCTTTTTTTTTTGAAAGGCAAAATAAAGAAGAAAAGATTTTTCCTGAGTTATGGCTGTATAGAGCAGGGACTGAGCCTAATCTTCAGCTGACTCATCTTCCCTTTCCTGTTTAACTAAAAGCTGAAACACTAGGTGCTTCTGAAAACCAGTTTTTGTGGGTGGATTTTGAAAAAAAAACAACTAGTCTCCAGGGCTGTGAAACAGGAGACAGGAGACCAAGAGCAGCTAGCAGACAGCAAAATTGCCCTAAAAAAAATCTTAGTTTAATTAGTGGGATATTAAGTTCATTAAAAAGGAGAGATGATTTTTCACACCTCTGAAGTATAACAATGAGCCATTAAGTCAATAGACTCCTTTTCCTGCCTGAATATTAATGCAACAGCTGCTGCAGGGTGGGGCAGGAATCAAAGCGGGATGCTTCTGTCCCAGTCAGACAATTGGCTTTTCCACTTAAAATGCATGCTCTGAGTGAGGTAGGAGGGTTGATTTTGGGGACAAAAGATGTGTGTTGTATGCAAGAAAATACTGTGTAGTTGTAGTAGCACTGAGGTGAAATATTGCTAAAGAGCCAGCAGGGGGAGCAGAAACATTGTAACATCATTGTGGTAGTTTTTATAGCAAGTAGGAGTCAGAGGACTCTCACTGTCTGACTTTGTATTACAATTTTTAAAGGCAGGACAGATTTAAGACCTAAAACCTCAACAAAGGACCTGTCTCAATTTTGTCATGGTAGGAGCAGGGTCTTGCAGAGAGGGTGGTTGTTCCTCTGAGCCCGGCTGTTTGATTTCTTGAGTGATGGATTATTCTAGGCCGGCTCTTCTGACTCTCGCTTTATTTTGGCAGGAAGAAGCTGACACTACTGAAGGAGATGCTGGCTGGCTGCGGGGCAGGCACCTGCCAGGTGATTGTCACCACTCCCATGGAGATGCTCAAAATCCAGCTACAGGATGCAGGCCGAATTGGTACCTCACACATCTCTTCTCTCCTTGCACAACAGGCGGGCAGTGGGGAAGATCCATAGAGGAACAGGGAGAGTAGGGCTGTGGGAGAAAAGGAAACAGATACTACTTCCCGTGTACTCAGAGGTGCCTCAAGGTGTGGTAGATCTTTCTTCATTGTCTTCCTACCTCTCTCTGCTTGTCTGGTCTGGTAAAGCTTCATCTTCGTGACAGCAGGCACTTCTCACTGCCTGCACTTGCACCACGCAGTGACCCTGTGAATGGCATCACAGCTGCTGTGCATGGAGGGGAGAGAGGCAGCAGGGAGGACGGTGTTCAGCCTGTAAATTATTAAAGCTCATTATCTAATGCACATAGAAGGGATTAACTTTCCCTTAATTCATTTCCTGTGACAGTTTCCCTTGTTGTCTCTCCCCCACCCCCACCTAGCACATTGCAACTGTAATGTCTTCTGAAAGGTATGATGTACTGTCAAAAACCCTGTCTTGTTTCTGCACTGCCTGCAACCACTCTCATTTCCTGGCAAGAAATGTGTTTTTTAGTTTGTTCTGAGCAGTGAATGAAGCTCCCCAAGTGATGGCGGATGGGGCGAGATTGTTTCGATATAGCACGAGCATGATGCTTTATGCAGGCCTGTCCATGCTGTTGCCCCACTTCCTCCAAGCCTTGCTGATTTTCCGTTTCCTCTGTAATCTCATGGGGAATTCTCCAGCTCACGAGGCTGAGAAGAAATTGCAGGCTTTCCTTCATTAGAGTGAAATGAGTGATTAACCTAAGCAGCCTTGAATGGCTTGTGGTCAGAGTTTATGTAATCAACTTGCATCATAGACACAGACCAAAAAAAAAAAAAAGCCCAGGCCACATGGCCATGGAAATAAATATGGTCACTGCAGGTAGCTGGCATTGGTCTATACTATAAAATGTATCTACAGTTTGGCACAGTGGGCATTCTTTGGACAGAGGAGAGGCCTAGATAGAGTCAAACTATTGAGAAACGCTGCAGGTAGGGTCAGAGGTAGAACTGTGGGGGAATCGAGGGCTTGGACAGAAAGGGGGTCACAAGCCAGGACTGAAATAAATTGGTAGGGAAGGGAGTCGGAACAAGGGAAAAATCATGTTGTAAACCATATGAGCTACACTGACAGCTGTCAGCTCTGCACCAGTAGTCTGCCATGTGCTTGGCCTGGTGTCTTCACAAAATGAAATTAAATTGACATAATTGCCCAGCATAAAACCCAGGCACAAGAAAAGGCTTGATATATAGCCTAAATCTCTCCTGGAGTCCAACCAGAGACACGTGTCTGGTTCCTATAGTACCCTAAATCATGTCCATCAGCTAGGGTGTTAATAGTACCATCGGAAACCACTCTGCTAATAAACTTGTATGTTCTTTTATCTCTCTTTGATTCTTTAGTCACAGAATCTGTCTTTTTTTTCTTTCCCTGCCTAAGACCTCTTCTTTGCTAATTTTAATGTGAGCCTTATCCTCTTTGTATGTGTGTTTTTAAACTGTATGAAGAAATGAAGCCCTGGTTTGTAGGCTCAAAAACCAAATTTCTACTATTGCAATCAGTAAAGACCTGTTCTCTCCGGGTTGTCCATAAAATACAACCCAGCTATTGACAGTGCTCCACCTTCTGGCTAAATGGTAGAACTACACTAGGGTGTGACAGGAGTAATGGGAGAAAGTATAATGCCTAGAGATCTAAAGTACTCTAAAACTCAAACTGAAGATCATCCTTCCGCCCCTTTGCAATAACAGTATTGTGCATGGAA